TGCTTATGGGTATTAACCCGGAGAAAGAGGGAAGCGTGTAGGTGGCCTGTGCCATTTCCCAGGGCAGGAAAATAGGTGTCCCCCATGATTTGCATATGCATGATGGTGAACACACAGCTGAAGAGAACTTTCCAGAAGACATGAATGGAATGAGTCATACTGCTTTCTCGGTGATAGTTAAGAACAGGCTCCCTCTAACATCATCACCTTATCATTTTTAAGATTTTTTTCTTTCAAAGGACAGAAGCAGTGAATGGGGAAACATGTCACATTTATCACTTCTCCTCAAGTCTCTTAGTCTTACTAAAGTCCCTGCTCAGTTGTATAAGTACACACACACACACACACACACACACACACACACTGCACCATGGAAAAGTCAATTGACACTGCTCACAGTATATTCAGATCTGTGTGACCTGGGCTGGTGTGTGTGTGTGTGTGTGTGTGTGTGTGTGTGTGTGTGTGTGTGTGCATTTTATACATCATTACTCCAACAGGCCAGTTGGGAAGAATCTTAAGACTATATCAAGATACAATTTTGTTCTGAAGATGATTGGCCCACCTGGCCCTGAGCAAATTCTTTAAAGGCTTTCAAGCAGCTACGCGTGGGGATATTTTGGAAATTCGCACGTGACCACAGTGGTGCAAGACTCTGGCTCCAGAAATAACCTATGCAGCTCTGGCTGTTAGGGAATGTGAACTTCTCTCTCCAGCCTCCGGACCTTGGACTGCAGTCAGGGACTGTCCAGGGAAGGTCAGGAAAGAATTCCACCCCCCTCCCTGCTTGCTCAGGCACTCTGCTCCTTGCGTGCTATTCCACCCCACATCTGGCCAGGTGTGGGACGTTGGTCCAAAGTTTGCCTTGCTGTCCCTGGAGGGGCCACATACCAGACCAGACAGACATAGGGCCTGCACCCATCCCTGCAGTGGGGGTGGGGTGGGGGGGAGGGCCGCACCCACAAGGTCCCAGGATTGTGTGTTTTGTGGTTAAGATACTTATGCCTTTGATGTGGGCCAGGCAGCAGAGCAGACGCTCAAAGCCACTGCAAACAACCTGAGACAGCTTCCCAAACATGCAGCCCCTGCCTTGGAAGGCAGTGGCCTTTAAAGGGGCAATTTTCCAATCACTGCCTATTTGGTGTGCTTATGCCTGAGCCAGGGGAGATTTCTTAACTCTGGGCAAGAGACTTGCTGAGCAAGGGATGCCAGGAGCTTGGGGCACGGGAGCTGTCTTACGTGCACTCAGTACTGGCTAATACTAAGGAGGAGTGACGTGTGTGGGGACGGGGCACCCAGGTGAAGGTGGAACAGAAGACAAGGAAATCACGGCCCTCCATCCAGGGAAGCAAACAGTCTCTAGTTCAATCCTCATGCTAGCACTGTGGGGCAAATCCTAGTAATCTGTACTTGCAGAGAAGCTAAAGGATGCTTTAACTAAAGAAGCAAACCTAGGATTAGAAAGCAAGTTTTTCCTCACACCCCTCCAGTCTTTTTCCTCCCCTCCTTTCTCCTTCCCTCCCCTCTCTTCTCCTCGCCTCCCTTCTCCATTTCTCTCTCTCCCTTCCCCTCCCCTCTCCTTCTTATCTCCCTCCCCTTCCTCTTCTCTCTCATTCTTTCTTGCTCTCTCACTTCTTTTCACTAGTGACACTGGGGACAGAACCCTGGGCTTTCACTCTGAGCTATATTGCTAGCCCTTTTTATTTTTTTACTTTGGGACAAGACCACCCTAAGTTGCCCAGGCAGGACTGCAAATTATAATTCTCCTGCCTCAGCCTCCAAACTGCTGGGATAACAGGCCTGCACCACCACCCTCATTTCCAGGCCCTTCCAATGCCATATTCTTGTGCTTCCAACCACACCACAGGACCACAAGACACTGAAGTCTCTCTATGGTGCATCCAGTTCATGGCCTATTGCTACATACTTTTCCGGTAAGAAATTGTGGTAGCTATGGGTCTTTGCTGTCTTTTATTGTATCCTTGGACATTACTGTTGGGTAATAGAAATCCAGAAGTCCTGGCCTGGCCAGTGGAAGGTATATCCCTTTCCACAGGGAATGGAAGCAGGACCAGCCCATTGTCAGTAGACCTGAAGAGTGATGGATGGGTCAGAGCCAGGCTAGGTCCAGCTTAGAACAACCTGCTTCTGCCTTGAGGACATCAAGAGCATCCTAACAACAGAGTCCAGCATCTCTGAGAGCACGGGCTGGGCTCAGTAAGTTGGTTCGGACAGCCCATGTCGTATACTGAGAGAGATTTGCAGTTTCTGATCTCCTGTTTTAGAAGAATGTACCAAGATAGAAACACATGCCTAATTTGGCTCTATAGCCTTCCTTGGGATGGAAGGATCAGCCCATGTTACTGAAGAAAAACACTGTATTGGTCAAAACCTGAACCAACAGCATGCGGGAGAGAGGTGGAGGGAGGGAAAGACAGAGGGACTATTTTGAAGCCACTGGCTCAGACAGTTGTGAAGTCTGGTGAGTCCAGTGTCTGGACGGTTGGGGGTGGACAGCAGGCTATCGACGTGCGGTTGGTGTCCGCAGGCTGTGAGAAATCCTCTTGCCTCAAGGAGGTCTGTATTTGCTCTAGGAAGGTCTTCACTTTCCTGCTTTCCTCCTAATTCACCTGTTTAAATGCTAGTCTCCTCTACAAAACACATTCAGAGAAACATCTAGAATAACGTTTGACCCAGTATCTGGGCATACGGCCCTATCAAGTTGAAACTTGAAATTGATCAACATGGATATTGAGCCAGAGCCATGCTGAGGTTACGCAGGAGAGAGACCTGGGGCTGGGGACTTAGCCACAGGCTCTGATTCCACCTGTGTTCTCCTCACCATCTTCCAAAGCCCAGGTCAGTAAACCAGGAAGAAGTGTCCGCCATCCACAGAGAGCCTCAGGTCCTTAGATGATGGACTCATGAGCTGCTTCTCTTTCATCACTCACTTTTCTCACTCAACAAGAATGAACTCCAACCCCTCATGGGTGCCACCTCGGGTCCCAGCTTCTCCTTTCTTTCTCTGCCATCCAACAGCCAGTAGTTTCTGTCCCCAAGTTTGCAAGACGGCTGCTGCATCTCCAGACATGACATCCATGCTCTAGGGGACAAGAAATGGGAGGAAGAAACAGAGGAAAGTCAAAGAGCTGAAGACACAAGTCACCTGAATCTGACCTTTCCACGAAGTTTTTGTGGATGCTGACCCCTGCCTGCTGCATTCCAGTCCCACTGGCCAGAACTGCTCTCAGATTCCTAACTTCAAGGAAATCAGGGATGATGCATGTTGCGGATTCCAGGTGACAGAGGGAGGTGGCAGTGGGATACTATGTGGAATCCAACAGTGAGCAACAGCAGGGCTCCATGGCCCGCTGTGGTTTGGATCAAATATCTTGGTTGTGCCCCATCAAGGAGCTTAGCCCCAAAATGTGGTTCCCACTGGCAATCAGCGTGACCAGCTGCTGCTGAAGGGGTGAGCTTCGAGTCCCCGCTGCCCTCTTATTGTACTTAAGATGTACCTGTACCTTCTCTCCATCCGGCTTCACCAGCCTCACGCTTAGGCGACTGTCTTACTCATTGTCCTGTCTTGGGACACAACACAGACACCTGCAACCTCAAGGCTGCGAGGCTTACTTGGGCTCACAGTTTGTGGAGCTGTCTGTACTTGCCCAGCTGGCTCAAGGCCGAGCAGCATGGCAGAGGGACATGGTGGAGGAAGGCTGCTCGTGGCAGGGTGGGATGGGAAGCAGAGAGCCAGGGAGGGGAGGAGGGGGGAGAGAAGCCCTTCCGGGTCATGCCCCCGTGGCCCTCCCCCTCCAACCAGGCTTCACTTCCTGACATCACATTTAGCTGTAAATTCCTCACTTGAGCAACGCAACTGATGAGTGTCAACTCCACAACCAGTCACCTCCCCAAGACCCCCGTGAGTGCACCCGATGATTTCCACTTACCTTGGCCCCCTCCTGTTAAGGAGGCCTCAGCTCTATGCTACCTGTAAGTATTTGCATTTCATGCATGCCATCTTTAAGTTCATTCTCCAGTCCTAGAGAACCATGAAGAATAAAGCATGACCCTCTCTTTTTCTCTGGAAAGATGGCCCTTAAAACAAGCCATTTCTCTTGGCAAGCTTCAGACTCCCTCAAGAAGGCAGAAGATTGAATCGGGGCTCCCAGAAACTGGATCTCAACACCAGAAGTGCCTTATGGGCTGACACCTAGAAAGGACCCCACTTGCCCCCTAGGTGTGGGAAAGCAGAGCAGGTCAGATATTCACCCCTGGGTGCTGTAGATCGCAGAGGAGACAGCTGCCCTAGACCGAGGCAGTTTCCAGCCCAGGCAAGGCGATGGCCCACAATCACATTTTCAAAAACACAAAATGTGATTTTTCAAAGTATGAATAAGAGCTATTGTGGACGGCCCAGACTCTGTGTATAAGCAATGAAGTAAGATGAATTGACTGGCACTGAGTTGGAAAAGCTATGCCAAGGCAGGAGTGTGGAACATAATTTAATAAAAATAAACTTTTTTTTTAAATACATACACTCCCAAAGAAGAAATGGAAAAGTTGTCAGGGTGTGGACCAGGGCTGCTAATGAGCCACTCTGCAGTGTCCGAGCCCCCTGCTGTCTTGTCCAGCACCTTCTTGGGGCCACACTGGACAGTGGCAGGGAGGGGCCCCACAACACCTGACCTTTGTCACCGAGCTGACCTCCCCCAGGACTTTCTCTTCTGCCCAGAGGGGCGCAGGAGACCCTGACAAGGATCCTTCCCCAAACCCAGGGAGCCCCCAAGAAGGCGTCTTGCCAAAGTGGCAAAACAGCTCCTCCTTGGACCCTCTGTCCCGGCTGGAAGTGTGAAACTTACAAGGCTCAAGGCGCTGCGATCAGAACTGCACCTAGGGAAAAATCAGAGTATCCCAGCCATAAATATCCCGCTTGGAGACGCCTGACGTCAGAGAGGGGCGGGCCGGTCCAGGAGGGAGCGAGCGAGCGAGCGAGCAGGCTAGGGAGGAGGGAGCTGCCGCGGTGTCCCGAGCAGTGGAGCGCGGAGCCTGCGGAGCCGGGGCGACCGGGCTAGAGAGCCGCGCAGAGCCGAGCCATGGGGGCCGCAGGGTAGGTGTTGCTGCTGCCGCCACTGCGCGCTAGGGGGCTAGGGGGGCTTCCCCCCAGGGTACTGTCCTGGCCTCTACTTTCTTGAGCATGCAGAGTTGGGCTGGGGAGGCTGCATCTCCGAGGAGGGCGGGATGTTTTGTTTCTCTAAAGTGCTAGAAGGAGCCTTGACCCTGTTGTGGGCTCCCAGGGCCTGTGCGGGTGGAAAGCTGTGATCGCGGGTGTTCACATGTCTGTCTGTCCAGCCGGGGACAGCTGAGCACAGGAAACGTCCTTGGAAAACTTTTGAAAAAATTCTTTTTTGGTGTCACAAGTGAGTAAACACAGATAGGGTCCCCACGCTCAACGATTCTGGTAGTGGCTTTTTCCCTGCCCAGCTTGCACCTTCACTGGAGTGGACAGACGTCTTCTCAAGTCCCCTGCTCTCACTTGTAGGCCTGGCCTCTGGCCAGCGGGCTGGGCAGCAGCCGCCATGGGATGGTGATCTGAGGGGAATGGGACCTTAGGCAGAAAACGAACATCTCCTCAAAGGGTCCCATACCCCTGGGACCTCAGCACCTGTGGCCAGAGGCCAGACATCCGCTCTGACCTCCCAGGAGGTGAGATTCTGGCTTAGTGAGGGAAGCGGGGACCTGGACTGGCAGCAGGTAATGGAAATGAGGATGGAGGAAGAGGAGGTCACAGTGGCCAGATGCAGTGGTCCTGGGTCCAGCCTGGCCTCAGGAGAGGGCTGGATGTCTCCGCCACATGTGCCCACGGCAGGGTAGGTGCCGGGTTCCCTGGGAGTGCCTTGTGCAGTGCACCAAACAAGATGCAAACTGCGAACATAAAGAGACGTGTCTGAGCTGTGCGGCGGAGGAAGGGGGGCCGTGGGGGGAGCGGGAGAGATTTTTATCAAAATTGAACACAGATTGCTGAGGTCTGTGCTTGATTTAACTCTTCTCTCTCTGCCGTGGCCACTTCTCCCACAGTTCTGTGGTGGATTCGGAAAGTTTCTGAGTAGCTGGAGAGGAAGAATCACACATTTGTTCAGGGCAGAGTTTTGGTAGACTTTCCTTGGAGCTCACATGGGAAGAAAAGCATCTTCCCATCTCTAAAAGGCTTCAACTTTTGTGTTTCCTAACTTGGGAGTTTACAGTTTCTTGAGTTTTTCTCTAGGACTCAGGGAGCTGGGGCCAGGTGAGGGGTTCTGGAGTGTCTCTAGGGACCAGGACCTGTCAGCCCTGGGTTGCAGGGAGCACAGACCCTGGGTGTTATGTCAGTAGCTGGTTTCACAAACAAGTGACCTGACCATGTGGAGAGCCTGGATTTTCAGCTTTGCTCTTCCAGATCCCTGGTTTTATATTTTGCAGTGTAGCCAACGGACGACGGTTGGGTGGGAGGAAGATTCCTGGGCGCGCTCTCTCTCTCTCTCTCTCTCTCTCTCTCTCTCTCTCTCTTTCTCTCTCTCCCTGGGTCTTAGAAAAATGAGGGAATGAAGGGACGGAGAGGAAATCTGGAAATAAAAACAGACCCACAGGAAGTTGAGATTTGGGAAGGATTTTTAGAAATCATACAAATTGACCCCCGGGGAAGCGCCATAAAAGACTGCAGTGTCAGACATAGACTTGCTTAACTTCAGGGGTGTGTCCCCCCCCTGCAGCATGGTGCAGAAGTCAGTCATCCCACGGGTGGTGTGAGCAAGGGTGTGTGTAAACAGGGCTGGCTGGTTCCCCGTGGGATGCGTGTGCACGCACATTTACGCATTCATGGCTATGGTGGTCAGGGCCTTGGGCGTGGAAGCGTAAAGGGCCCATTCCTTCATCCCCCCCCAACTGCATCCCACCCCATGTCCTCCTTAAAAAACAAAACAAAACACAATTGTGCTATTATTGTCCTGAGCCCTGGTAGTTTCTCATCCTGGCTTCTGCCTCTCAGCTGAGTTTTCAGAACTTTTCCTGCAGATCCCAGGACGCAGAGGGAATACTTGTGCCCCCAACAGGACAAAAGTGGAGAGAAAATTCTCCAGGGCCTCAGGCCTCAGGACTCAGGTGGAGCCAGCAGCAGGACCAACGGGAAGCCCTGGAGCAGTTGGCCAGAGGGAGCATGGGGTGGGGGTGGGGTGGAACTACCGTGGCTTTCTTCCGGGATTGCCTGGGAGCCTACAGAAGCAACAGGTTTCAATGTTCTCCCTCATTCCCATTATTTAAAAATAGAAGACTGGGGGCTGGGGAGATGGCTCAGTAGAATAGGTGCTTCCCTGGCAAGCGCAAGGGTCTGAGTTCAATCCCCAGTTCCTCCAAGAAAGAAAAAGAAAAAAGAAAAAAATAGAAGACTAAATACCCAGGAGCAGAGGGAATCATTTGGAGTGGGATTCCCAGAAACACCCTTGTGCCCACACAAGCTGAGCTGAGAGTGAGAAAGAACCAGATCTCTCCTGAGGGTCAGTGGAATCTCAACCCTTGGGGGTTTGCCCTGGGTGAGCATTCACCCAGTTCAGCCCCCAGGCCCTGGGTGGATTCCCCAGCCCTGCCACTTGGGCTGGCCTTGAGCCCCCTTGAGATGGCCCCTTCCTTCAGCACCAGCTTAGCTGATCCTGACATCTCTGAGATCAGACAGATCCAGGAAGATGCATCCTCAGGCATTTGTGAGCTCCAAAGGGTGAATAACCAGCAGAAGGAACAACTGGAGGGTGGTGGGGGGGGTAGGGTCATTCTCTTTGGTAGCTGGTCACACAGCCAGGATCCCATGTCATTTAGCCCCGGACTTCAGATACAGTCTGGCATGATGGAGAGATCTCAGACTTGGGAGTGGAGCTGCTGGGAGGGCATTAGACCTGCGTGTGAGTTAGTGACTGGGGACACTTTTCCAGCCCTTGTGGGCTTCAGTTTCCTCCTCTGTAAAATGAAGATGGGTGCCAGGTTGTTACAAAAGTGACATTAATGCTGAAGCGCTAAGAACAGAGCTGGGAGTGTCACAGATGGTTAATAAGAGGAATATGTTAGTTCTATTTAAAAATTTTCCCTCATCAGGAGCTAGGGCTATTTGGAAAGGACCCCTTCCCCAAATCCCCCAAATTCTGCTTAGTGTTTTCCGTGATGGGGAGTCAATGGCTAGGGACATGGTCACCCTGCCTTTCTTCCTCTAGAGAGTGTGTCAAAAAAATGTTCCTGAGGTCTAGCCTGGAAACCTCCCCCACTGTCAGGGGAGGGAGGGATAGCAGGGGTGGGTGGGGACAGGCTGCAGTCCGAAGCCTAAGGGCATTGTGGAGGGCTCTCAGGAGACCTCCATGTGATACTTTATCCGGGGGAGGGGCAGTACCAGGGAAAAGGAGAACCCTATGCCTGAGTAGCAGCTGCAGGACCTCTCAGCCCATACCCGAGCTTCTAAGCTATCCTTCAAGTTGACATTTAAGATTCGAAGATTACATTTGTTTTTGTTTTGTGCAAGCTCTCTCTTTAACAGTGACCTGGGATGACTTTTCAGCTTTTAAGAGGCATAGTCAGTGGCCAATTTCTCTCGAGATAGCCCAGATTGGGGGGGGGGGGGTCAGTGAATTCTTCCCTCCTGGCAGCATTTATTTCTCCAACTCTCTCCACACATTTTTTGGTTTGTTTGTTTTTCATTTCATTACGAGGTTCTAAAACTGCACGGTCAAGATGCTGGGGGGAGGAAGTGCCTTTGCTGTGAACTTGGGTATCATTATGCTGGTACTGCCCAAGTACTGGAATAGTCAGGAGCTATGAGGAGGGGGAGGAGAAGAGGGGGAGAGGGGAGGGGTGGGGAAGAGGTGGGGGAGAGATGGGGGAGGGGATGAGAAGGAAATATACCTGTAAAGCTTTGGGAAGTTTTACATTGCATTAAATCTTGGCCTAAGAGGAGCTGAATGATTTATAGGATTCTCCATGGTTGCTGGAAAGAACTTTAGAATCATATGCACCAAGATTTGAGTTCTGGAACATGTGAGTGTGCAATCCTATAGGAAAAGAATCTGAGAGACTGCTGAGCGCTCTGTATCATGTTAATTCCTTCTCTGTGTCAAGGTCTGAGCTCATGAGAGCGCCTGGGTTTGGACCTTTTGTCTGTAAGTTAAAGTAAATAAGCCAATTATTTGAGGCTTAAGGACTATACCCAAAAGGTCAGCTAGCTCAGGCTGGGGATGGAGACCTTTAACACACAGCGGAACACGGATTAGCGCTCCCTGTGCCAAGCCAAAGGCTGCCCCATGTGACCTTTCGGAGTGAGTGAAAGGTCATTGCCCACTCACCCATGAACCTGGGCATTGGGGAGTTCTCCACAGATCTTGTTTGAAAAATCCTGGACACTGTCTTGGTTCAAAGAATCAAAGTCAAAACTTGGCTGAAAGAACTCAGTAAGGTAGCACCTAAAATCACCCAGTAGCAATGGCACTACCTGAGGGCCGTGGTCCCCTCCACTGGGCCTAACATTCTATAGTTTGAAAGCCACATGGTTGAATTCAAACATCATAACTCTACCGCGCTGCTGGAGTTAGCCACGTTTTGGGGCCCCACCTCCGAGGGCTCCGGAGAGCTACCCAGTTTCACATAGCAAGTAAATAGCTGTCCACCTGTGGGTCAGCTGACTGACTGCACCTAAGAACCACTTAGAGGACTTGTAAGAGTGCCACTCTCTGGGGCCCCTTAGGTCAAATAAATTAGAATCTCAGGGAGCATGGGTTCCTGGCACCTATGCTTCTGTGTGTTCCCCGGATGATCTAAGTCTAAGTGAAAACCACTGATCTAAGGGAAGAATGAAAATTCAATACGGAGGATGTCAGGCAGGGGTACAATGAACAACAGGTCAGGTTTTGCTAGGATTTATGGTTGGTGGGGTCTCGGTACCCCCAGCACCTGGATTGGTGCCAGGTTCAAGGAAGACACTCATCTGCTGAATGAATGAACAAAGTACTGTGGCTATGGATCTTGCAATTTCAACAGCCAGCTCCAGCTTGTTGTTGTGTTTTAAAAATAAAGTTTTCTAGGAACACAGTTCTGCCCATTTGT